TATTTATTTTTAAAAAAAAGGGTTATTTTGAGGTTTGGGGTTGTTTTGTCTCCGCTCGAGCAGAAACTCTCACGCTTGAGCGTGGATTTCATTAATCCAACATTTTTTGCAGAGTTTTTCAGTTCTGTGAGGTCGTTTTTGGCGCTCGAGCGTCCAATTTCTTGCTCGAGCGTAGCCTCGCATGTTTTGGCTCACGCTCGAGCGTTAAAACCCACGCTCGAGTGGACTGGTTTGATATAAAACTCCTTCCCTCATCTCTTCAATTCAATTTTTCCCCCAAATCGATCTCTCACCTAGGACTTCTTGGAGATTCTGTCTTGTGTCCTTCCTTGGACGATTTTGTTGGTGATTCTTGTACTTTTTGGGCATCTAAGGTTAGTTTCTCTTAGATTTTGTCTCTGTCCTTCTGTTTATTTATTTATTTATTTGGTTGTAGTTTATTCCCCTCATGTTCCTTATCCATTCTTAATTCAAAGTGTTTGTCTCTTGTTGGTTAATTGAATCTTGTTATAGAATATTGTGCTTTGGAATATTGAGTTGTGTTCAAGAATATCACTACATTCAGTTCAAGTTTTTATTTAGTTATGTGATCTATCTGGTTAATTGGTTATGTCCCTATGTTTTCCTTGGTTATTTTGTTCATTGGGTTACAATGTGATTCATACTTCTATTGGCTGGTTAATATTGCTAGATTTAGAGTTTACTACTAATGCTTTGTTTCTATTTTTTTCTTTTGGTTCTAATTTTTGTCTTGGGTTGGGGGATTGGTGTTTATTCTTTTGGTTTATTCTTGGTTTCGTCATGTTTTCTTCTAAGCGAAAAAAGTCCACTGCCACTTGACCCTCCTTTAACACAGACCGGTTTCCCTCAGCTGATAAAGCCAAATTGTTTAGAAAGTCCTATCCTTCTCGCACAGTTCATCTTGAACAAAATGTTCTACTAAACACCTTTGAGTCCATCCATATCCGTCCACTGTTTGATCGTTTGGGTGGGGAGTTGGTACTTTCCTTCTCGAGTCCTCAAAATCTTAATTAGGTTAGAAAATTTTACTATAATATGGAGAGTATTGATATCATTGGTCCTTCATTCAAGACTTGGGTCCGGTCCAAATCTATCACAGTCACTACTGATCTCATTCGTGAGCTTTTAGGGATTAGTAAAGTCTTCCCTATTTTCTATCCTTTTTCCTGTGAGACCCACTTGTGATTTTAATAAGGTGGCCACTGCTTTATGTGGTACATCTCGTCCATAGCTCTCGGGCTCATTGATCAAGCAAAATGAGCTTCTTCTCCAATTTCGGTTACTCAATCTCATTGTGTGTGCCAACATTATTGTGACCACCCACAGCTCGGAAATAAACCAAGAACAAGGTTTTGTCCTTCATTGTATTGCTCAGCATCGCTCCATTGACCTTGCTACCTTGATCATTCAGAAGATGGTTGTTGCGTTTGAGCATAACAACCTTGGTCTACCTTACAGGTGCCTCATTAACCGACTTTTCACCAAGTTTGAGGTTCCCTCGTTTGAAGAAGATGACTTCGTTTCTCCTTCCAGGCCTTTCACCAAAAAGACTGTCTCTCAGAGTCAGTCTTATGTTAAGGGGGTTCTTGCTGGGGTGGGTAATTCCGGTACGGGTATAGGTGATGCTGCTATGGCCGAGGAGGCAGAGTATGATGTGGCTACTGCCGAAGAGGCTGTTGGTGAGGGGAAGCAGTTACCTCTAGTCCATACTATCCGGGGCCAGCTTCATATGTTCGAGCAGTCCATGGTCTCTTGTTTTGATCGTCTGGAGGGCCAGATGGATATTTTCAAGGCCAGGCTTACAGATCTAGAGACCACTGTCGATGCTCAACTCATCGCGTTGGATGCCTCATCCAGGCACATTGAGGAGTCTGTTGCACAGTCTTCTGCTAATTTGTCTCAGATCCTATCTCTTCTCCAAATGCAGTCACCTCCACAGCCACCAGCTCAATGATCTTGGTTTCACAGACATATTTTTTGGCTTGTATTATTCTTGCACAACTATATTTCTTGTTCTTTGTTGCCCTGATTTCTCTATTATTTTTTTTTCTCCCCGACAAAAATGGGGGAGTGGATGCATTGTTAGGAATATTTTTGGATATTTTTGGATTTTGGATATTATACTTGATGCACACCTTATTGGGATACTTTGTTGGTGTTAGAAATTTTGATGCATACCTTATTATTTCTGGATGGATGGGTATTATGTTTGGAGTTTGGATATTGAGTTGTTTTTGTTTAAATATATTAAGTTGTTTTTGTTTAGATATCTATATATTTGGCTATTTATCCAATTCCACAGTTTTGGTTTGTGTGGTTGTCTCTTCAGGTGAATTGTTCAAGAATTGCATGGTTCATGGTTGTCACATTCAGTTCTTACAGTGGTTTTTGTTTTTATTTTTGAGGTTGTTGATTGTTTTAGCTAGTTTGTGTTTTGGGTTGTTTGTTAGGAAAATTGTTTAGAACAGTTTTGTCCGGGATTTGACAATGGAGGAGATTATTAGGACCTTTGTTGTCAAATTCCATGGAAAAACTGAGGTGTAAATCGAGTTATAATTTTCTAGTTTTTAGTCTTCTCGCTCGAGCGGGCAAAGTGACGCTCGAGCAGAGTTTACACTCTCACAGTATTTTCGTGTCTGCAAAAATACTGAGTGATGTGTTTTTACGCTCGAGCGTGGAATCTTCCGCTCGAATGTGAACCCTGGTTGGAACACGCGATATAGAGTCCCCGCTCGAGCGTCAATTCCCACGCTCGAACGGACCTCGCGATCTCAGCCTCTATAAAACCACTTGTTGCTCCAACTCTAGGGTAACTTTTCCTAGATCTTATTTAAGGGTCTTTTCTTTTGGGATATTTTTCCTGGTTTTCCTTGATGTTTGATTGAGTTTGAACTCATGTTCTTATAAGCACACATCAAGGAGTTTGTTTGATCTTTCTTTGAGAGTATTTTTCTTCGGTGGAATCTGAAGATTCAAGCACAGAGTAATCAAAGGAGTTTGATACTGTGTGTAGTCATTTATTCGACAATTGATGTTGTGGATTTAACATCAAGGTAATCAATTCTGTGTGAAGGTTGCGGTGAAAAACATACAGAAGATTTGAAGACAAATTGGAAGCAATTTTGGTAATTTGTTTGGTATCTTTGTAATCTTTCTTTCTTCAGTAGTGGATTGATTTGTGGCATTTCGCCCGTGATTTTTTATCACAATTGAAGGTGCTTCAATTGTGATTTTTCTACGTAAAAAATCGTTTGTGTCGATTCATTATTTTTGAAACAACAATCTAAATCACTTTCGTACGTGCTTGATGATTTAGATTGTGAGTTTTAATTGGTTGGGAATTGAAACAATTAAATCTTGATCTAATCACGAATCACTTAGGTTTTTCAAGTGTAGTTCAATCCTTCAAAAATGAATAGATTTAAATTTAGAAAAATTTTCCACCAAGTTAGAAATAGAAACTCTAATTTCAGCCATAAATATCAGTAGCTTGAAGCAAATAGAGTTAGAATTTAAGCAACTAATTGAAAAAATTCATAATCAGATAAATCAAATAGCTAGACAAATAGAATAGATCTACCAAATTCAAGATAATGTAAAATAGAAATTAAAAATTTTAGAACAACTAATAAGATCTTAATTTATGAGTAGTGATAAAAAAAAAGCTAATAGAGACTACCAGATTATTTTAAAACAAGCAGAAGACTTTCATAATAACCAGGAGGGAATTAGTAGCTATCAAGGAATAAATCAGTCAGATAAAATATCAATAAGACAAAATAATATAGAAATTTTATTTCTTATCCGTTTGTGTGAAAATTTTGAAGAATTATCAGAACAACTACACAGTTTAGAAAATTGTTTAGCTTCGCTGGAAAGATTAGTACTTCGAAAAGGAAAAGGAATAGAAAGACAAGCAAGTAAAGCACAATCTCGAATAAACAAAGAAGATATAGCTAAATATTTTGAAAAGCTTAAATTACCAAAGAAACCTGCTTGTAGAACTTATAGAAAATAAAAATGTTTAAATAGTTAGTAAAAGGAAGTAGCAGTAAAAAGCATAATGAGGATGAAGATGTTAAAGTAGAAGAATTTATAGATGTGGAGCAACAAATAGAAAAATTTAAAAAGGAAAAATTAGAGTTAATTCCAGCTAAATATGTATATAAGTTAGGAAAAATTTATAAAAAACAATATTTTTTTAAACACTATGGTGAACAAATGATTAATGTGACTCGGGAAGATGAAAAAATAGAACTAAATTTAATAAATAGAGAAAGTTATAAATATGTCGTAAATGAACACCTCAAAATGACTCACTTAGGATTAGTTGTGATAGGAGTTCAGGCTTTAACTAGAGAAAACTTAGGGTTAAAGCACTGTAGGAAATTCAGCTTTTAGCGGCATTTATAAAACGCCGTTATAAGTGTAAAAAACGCTGCTAATTATTTTTGCGACACTTAGCACCAAGCGCCGAGGACGCGGCCGTCGCTATAACTTTATGACATTTTAAAAATGTCATCATATTAGTAAACGCCGCCAATTGTCTTACTTTTCAATATCATGACATCATTATGATATTTAGCGACATTTTTTAAACGGCGTCATATCTTTTTTTAAAAATCTAACCATCAATAATTAGGGTTTAAGTGGCGTTTTTAAAAAAACGTCGTGATATCTCATTCTTTTTTTTTTTTTGAAATTGTGCTAATTTATGTGATTAAACTAAAAAAATACATATAATAAAATTGAGTAACATTAATATGAAATAATAACTTACATTCAAATAGCAAATGCATCATTAATTCATTTTCCCATTCACCAATCACCATTACCCACAAAATAACATATCCACAAATGATATTTTAATATTACCCCCAAAATAACATATCCAAAAATTGTATTCACAATTCTCAACCAAAAAATTAATTACTACTTTGTATACAAAGCCACAAAATAATATTACTATCTTCTCTCTCTCTCTCTCTCTCACCACTCCCTCCCCCATTTAACACAAAAAATAAGAAGAAAGTGAACCAAAACACCCAACTCCCCAATCAAATCAAAGGAAAAAAAGAAAAAAGAAAAAAGAAGAGAAATAAGAATCCGAAGGAAAGCCCCCATCTATCCTTCATTGTCATTCTGAATTGCTCTCCATGCTGCTTCCCATGGCCTTCAATCCTCTCGGTCTCTGCCAATCATAAAACATAATAATAAACCAAGAAGAAGATCCAAACCAGAATAACCATGCACTCAGCTTTAGTTTATAAGTTAAATTATTGGCTTCTAACTATAACTTCACCCATGCATGAAATTATTTTCTAGAGTCCATTAAGCATGTCAGCTATTACCAAGAATTAGATAAAACATTTCCTCTCCATTTTTTTGAGAAAGTGAAACTTACTTGTATAGATAGGCGGCAATCCCAAGAATTATGCACAACAGTATAATATCAATACAAAAATTTCGACTGGATCTCAGCTGAAACAAATCAAAACTTTCTGTCAAATCCAGCAAAGAGATCTACGACATAGCATAGTTGAATCTCTCTCTCTCTCTCTCTCTCTCTCTCTGTGCAGCACACAAAGTGATGCAAATCTACAGAAAATACAGTGGCAGCTTAATCACCTGGTTAACAGTATCCTTAAGTCTCACATTGGTGTTCTTAAGGTCAGATGCTGCATTGTCGACCTATAGGATGTGAAAATACACCATTAATAATTTAAGAATACTTGTAGCTTCAGATATTACTAGGTTAGGATGTGTTCTCAAACCTTAGTGTCAATCCGTCCATTAAAGGAACTTGCCTATCAATTTCCTGTATGAATTGCAAAGTCAAAAATTGATGTGCACAAAATGGGACAATGCAACAGATACACAAGGTAGTAGCAAACCTCATTCAAATCACGGGCCATGTCTTTCAATTTATCCAAACCTCACCACACAAAAAATAATAATAATAATAATAAAATAAAATAAAATAGAATAAAATAAAATAAAATTAGTGCTGCTTTATTTATTAAGGACCTGAAAAATTCCTCATTAACCTAACGGTTATAGATTGTAATCACATCGATGTAAACCGATTTTATATAACATATTTAAATAATTCAACCATGATTTATTGTGTTCATACCTTGATGCTTAGGAAGATGGCCCTGATGTGGAGTCAGCCAATGACGGTTAGAAACTTGAGAGAAAGCTGTTACATCCTGATTCACATCCTTCAAGTTGACATAGAAGGCAATTAAGGATTCAAGATATTGCATGGTTAAAGATATGAGGCACTAAAACAAGATATAAGGAAATACTTTCCGGAGAGATTGCGTTTGGATAAATATTTAGCAAAAATTATTGTGGGTTGCATTATCAGGGGATAAAGGTATATTGATGGCCCTTGGGATTTTCTTTCACCAGATGCCGCTAGGTTTAAATTACTAGACTCAATGCAGAGCTCTTAGACTAATATTCATTGTAAAAACAAGAACTCTTAGACTAATATTCATAGTAAAAACAAGAACTCTTTCTCAGGACAAACATTAGGTAAGTACAATATACATATATATATATATTTGAACAAAAGTGAGTGAGTGTAATTGTCTAGTTAGTAAAATATTTTGTCAACTAACATTTACTCAGAATTTCCTCATTGCAGTTTCTCCCTTGATATCAGCATTTGATTACTTACCATACCATGAGAGAACACCCAAATGCAGATTTTATAGCAGTCCTAGGTACTTTTATTTTGCATTAGTCCGATTACTAAAAATTTCAAATTGGTATAATATAGTCTGTTATGCGATCTTTTTAAGTTTCACAAAAATGATCATATCTTACATGAGAAAATGGATGCATGTAAATGAGCTACCCCAATCGTCCAACGATTACCTGAGAAAATCAATGAACAATTGACAATGAAACAGTTAAAACATCTCTTGATCCTGTTGCACAACACAAAAAATAACCACTAGGAAGAAACCCGCAGCAGAGATAGTGTCACGACCCAAACCTGGCCCTATGGGTTTAGCACCGTAACCGGCCAGTAATCCGAGATTACCGAAGGCCTGCTTAACAGTAATACAGTAAAACAGAGTACAGGGCCTGGCGGAAGCCAATACAGTAATTAAACAATGTCCAATGAGCTGTGACAGTCTTGAGGGTTGTTACAGATAGCCAAGTAAAATCACACTACTTACATTTTTGGGAATTCGATTGCAAGTAGGCAGGCCCTGCTTGGATAGAATGATGATGCTGGCCATCATATCTAACTGGCTAAATCCTATTTCCGATATGTCCAATAATCTGTACACAGAAAAAGAAATATCCAGTAAGAATATTTTATCACAATTTCTTACTTCTGCTGTCTTGTCATATTTTATCATTGATAATCAAACAGTGCAAGAGTTGCCTAAAGTTGCAAACTATATTTTATCCTGCATGAGATACCTCCCACAGCATCAAGTAAGCATTTAACAAATTCAAAATAAAGGTGAACAACGTAGTTCGGTTGCAACCGTATTTGGGACATATAGTGCTCTCTCTTGATTTTACTCTGTGCTCTCTATGAGACTACTTTTTTCCCTGTTCAAATAAGAAAACAGATTCCCCCTCTTACAAATATATTTTTGAATCTTCCCATCATCTAACATGAATGGTTTGTTCATAACAAAACTTTGTTTCAAATGAAACATGCATATATATATATATATATAGGCTATCTATCAAAACCCTCCCATGAGTTCACCTCTGTTATGATGTTAGCATTCCATGTCCATGGAAAATTTATTAAACTATTCTTCTTCTTTTTTCTAATTGAACTATTCTCCTAATATCCAGCAATGGTAAAAACACGATTATAATAAACCATAATGGTACAAATAAGCTCATAATTGGATGCATGATTTAAATATTATGCTGCTATAGCTTCAAAGAATAATTGAAGGATGATAAGTCATAAAGAAAAGACATCAATAGTTGAACAAAAAAAATCAAGTAACTAAGCAAGCAAGCAGTAAGAATCTTTCAAATTTGCTTAGCATACCATGATACGGTTACTTGATGAAGAACTTGTATTCCTCGTGCCTGAATCTGTTGATACACTAGAAAATGTCCATAATAAAAAGAGGATTGACAACCAAATGTTAAATTTAACCCAAAAATGGAAAATTTAAGCACCAACCATCAAGACTATAGCTTTTGATAACTAGATTGTTATAAGAAAACGCAAGACAAAAGCAATTATTTTAAACAAATATGTAATAGTGTCAGTTCCATTCGCGCTTGTGCAAGTTTCCATTTATATGCAAATCCATTAAATCAATAATTTCATTTCAGTGGAAAACCGAATAGAGCTGCGTATAATTTTCACTACAAGTATTACATGTTTCATATTGAATCATTATAATTTATGCTTATCAAGTTTAGCATGCATACCGTTGGGAAAATGTGCTCCTCTCACTTTTAACCTTCCTGCATTGTGATATAGCATATACTTAAGAAATAGAGCTACAATATCTACAACAACACAAACTGCTATAATCCAGGAAGTTCTAATTCCACAACCAAATGAAAAAAAAACCTAATTCCATACCAGAACCCTAAATTTTCACCAGATACTAAAATATATACAGATCTTTATATGCATATTGTATGTGATTCGTATCGGGAGAGAAGGATTACTTAGTACAATCCTCATATTGTCACTCAAAATATTGCAAGAAACACAACACATCAGCCATCTCACAAAGCACAAAACAAGTCTCTGATTCATTTTAACAACATATTATGCACAAGCGGCTCGAGTGCTAGGCAAATAAGACTTCCACCTAAGGCCACGACACTAACTGGTTTTCTTGCTAGACTAACTGGTTTTCTTCATCTAAGACATTGTAAAACAGCCTTACTTTGGAACATCATTGTCCAAAATTTCATAATATAGAGTTCATTATCGGTACCTGTACGGGGAGCAAATATTCCGGCGAGCCCGTACTCCTTTCTTCCGAGCTCCGTCTCTGTCCGATCCCCTGCGAGCCAATAAGGGTGAGCTACTCGGCGGTGTGTGGCCGGAAAAACCCTCCGACGGTCAAGTTAGCACCACCTTAGGATGGATAGAGAGAAGGGAGAGAGTGTTTGAGTGTAAGAATCCCTTACAGAGATGTTCGTCTGTCGCGTATGGGGGGCGCAGATATGCTTATATACCCTCTGCGCCCCATATCCACTCCCAGTCATCTCCTGACACGTGGCTCCACTATCCCATCTGTCAGCATAAACCTTGCCGATCATCACCTAATCTCAACTGCCCGCCTACTCAGCAGGAGCTCGGCGGCCGAGCCGCCCCATCTGTTGCTATGCCGTGTCGTGCTACAAACCCAAGCACTTCACCGGCTAAGACCAAGGAGGACCGGGCTAGGCAGCATCTCGGCAAAGCCTGGACCGAGGCACCTCCTGTGGTCGGCCTCTCTGCCGGTCAACCAGTTATCTTGGCTGACCACGCCTTTCCGGGCGCCGATCACTCAGCTTGTCCGGCTTCGGCCATCTCCTGACCGAGCAACTCGGTCTGACCGAGCACTTCCTCGCCGAGCAGCCTCTTCACAATCTGGGGCAGCACACACTCGGCCCAAATTCTGCCCGGCCCGAGTTCTGGAAGCCCATCTACGGGCGGATAGTTGATCATCTCGGCCCCATGCGCCGTTGGGCTCTCAGCCTGCTCGGCCGTTGCCTCGGCCCAATTCCAGATCATAAATTTCCCTCTCAATTGCCCCTTAATTCCGTCCGCGAAAGCGTGACTGGGATTACTCACTTCGACCGAGATGACGTTTCTCCGGTTTTCAAGATGCCAAAGCTTCACCGGGCTAATCTGCAATCCTGCCCGGTCATGTTCCTCGGCTTACATCCTTTTCCTCGAAAGTAGCTCGGTCGGCTCTTCGTCTCTTCAACCCGTCGCTTCAGTCCTGACGTAGCCATAAATGGGGACACGTGGCGGGCTGCCATTGGTCATCGAGCAGCCAACCCGCCGTCAGTGCCAGAATTTGAATTTGGGCGGTCTTGTGCTTACATATACACGACCCCCATCATACCATTTTTTCCTACTGCTGCTTTTCTACCTGTCGATTTAGAGGCTCAAGCCATTTCCTCAGACTCGACTGCCATTCCTCATTCTTGGAAGAACAGCTCCAATCCTTCACAGGTAAGATCTTTAATCCCTCTAGAGTAGCTATATTCTTTCGTAATACGCACATTAGGGCACAAAAACGTAGCTATTAGGGCATAGGTCGTAGAATCCGCACCTAACCTCCCATTGTTCTTGGTGTTCTTCATCTTCAAGAAGAACACTGAAAAACTGGGGTGAACCGGGCTCCTGGTCCTCTTTTGATCCAAAAAACCAGTCCAACCGAGCAAATGACAAGTTTGTCCCGACTCCAGCAAAAATCGAGATAACAAAAGGACTTGGTCGCTCAACCGGGCTAATATCTGGTCTGCTTGGGCGACCGGGCTCCTTAGATAGAATTAGACAACCGAGGTGGTTTGGCACTCTAAATGACCGAGCTAAAATCCAGCTCCTTTTGCGCGACCGCGCTCACACTTAACACTTGCCATCCTTTTCCTGCAGAGTCCAAGGGGACCACTGTCATTCCTGAGGCTCTCAGGACCGAGCAGCATCCAATAACCAGTGCCAAACCCCTCAACCGGGATAAACTAAGCCGGCCACAAATGGGGAAATTCCGCTTCCTAGTGGATACTCCGACCGCGCTAGCTGCTTTCAGAGAAGATTACGGCATCCCGACCGATGTTCATCTCGAACTGGCTGAAGAGGAGACTACGCCTTAGGGCAGACTTGACCAATGCCCCTTCACCGTACTCTCAATTGTCGAAGGGGGACTCCGTTTTCTGCTCAACCCTCTTATAACCAAGTTCCTTCGCCGCACCAGGCTGGCAC